GGGTTTAGGCGTTTAGGGGTTAAGGGTTCAGGGGCTTGGGGGTTTAGGGGTTTAGAGACTGCATTCTGGAAAACTTGTGACACACCTGCACAAACATCCAATCCGCGATTTAAGACAGGACGATGCAAACACCATGCAGCACCTCAAGGAGTGCTTTGCAGCGGTGCCGATCGCTGGTTGGTTGGTGCTGCTTCAGGGTTGAAGTTTCAGACAGTTTCAGGCTACAGAGCTGGGGCGGCGGTTTGGGATGTTGCCCTTGTTTTCATTGTTCGATGTCAAACTATGCCATAAATTTCGAAATAATGCCCCGAAACTTATAGCTTAAGTCTTAAAGCCTACAAGCGATAAGGCCTAAAACCCAAAACGCCTTCCAAGGCGTACTTATTGAAGCCTCTATACAATCTCACAAAGCTACAAGGACAACGTTTATATTCACGTTCAGGAGCTGCTGTTGCAGCAGAGCCGCCGGTCGGAATACTTGGGTCAAGAGGCCGCCAAATCGAATCATGTTTTGGGTCGAGTGGTATCTTTCAACGTTTTGGGTGGGAGTTTCCATTCCTGCTGGATGATGACCCAAAAGCCGTGTTTTGGCCACTGACCAAATAGGGTTTAAACTTGACTACTAGTTTGGGATGAGGGGTTTTGGGTTAAGGGCAGGTTGTCTTTCAGGGACAATCAACATCACAGCAGAAGCCATGTGACAAAGGCCCTGGAACCTGCAACCCCGGAACCCTAAACTGTTTCATAGAAGCACCAAAGGACCCAGGGGACCTTCCCCAGTTCCTTAAGTATGTGAGCCTTTTACGACACAGCCAAGCCAGAAGCCTTGAGGGTTTTGGGTTTTATGGTTTTATGCCTCCAGGTTTCAATTCTGCGGTTCGGAGCTGAGGCTTGGAGGCTCAGGGTTTAGGGTTTAGGGGTTTAGGGTTTAGGGTTGAGGGATAAAGCCGAAAAGCAGGGCTTTAAACATTCGAAGCTTAGATCGATGACCTACACTGTGAACCTTAAGCCATACATGCCCTAAAGCCTAAACACTACATCCCACAAAAGGCCGCTGCGTGGGATTGGGAGCGATGGGAGCTACTGCAACAGCCAGCGCCTAAGAAAAAGGGTAATGTAGGGCCCTGAATTTACCTCAATTCTCCCCGTACAGGGATTGCAATTTGGGGACCTTCATATCAATTACGATTTGGTGACCTTCATATCAAGGCTCTTAGAGACATGGGGTTTCATTAATCAGGCACAGGGCCTGAAATGTTCAAAAATATTCCTCAGGCTTGTTATGATTTAGTACTGCATACCCTGAGACCCAATTCTAATGATAAGCCTGCCCCCTGATGTTGGAGGTTGATTTATGGCTTGGGGTTTCGAGCCTCCACATTATCAGGTTTACGGAATTGGGACAGGAGCTGTCGTCACGTTTTAATTCGTGTCGTTGTTGGCCCAATTGCCACTACTACTCTTGCTATCCAAACGCGAGCTGTCCTCAACAGCGTCGTTATCCTGACTGTCGTGATCATCACAACCTTCACTGCTGGCATTGACGCAATCGTCACAAGTACCATGAACATCATCAGTACCGATGCTGCAATTGTTAAATGTGCCCGGGACCATACGTCCCAAACCCCAAGCTCCAGATGCTAAAACCCTGAACTCCTGCTGAACTCTAAAACAAGCCCTAAAGCCCTGAACCCCGAGAACGTAACTCCCAAAATCCCAGAGCCGTGGTCCCGCTCACCAGGCGAAAGCAATAGTCATGGGAAACCATACACCGGCAACCCTGTTACTGCTAGTTCTAGACAGAAGGTCCTACACAAACAAAGACTGCTTCTGCTAGCGGTGATGGCAATGTATGGCACTTCAACATGTAACTATGTACAGGAACCTGATACCGGGTCTGAGAAAAAGTGTTTGTTTTTGATGGTGATTGTTCTTTTTGTTCTTTATTGTTATTATTATTATTAGTAGTATAGTATTATGTCATGAATTATTATAAGGACCCAACTCTCGGTTCGAAGTTCTGGGGGCCTTGGAAGCGAAGGCTGCGACAAAGAGACGAGCAGCTGGAGTATGAAGAGAATGCAGCAGCCAAGCAGCGAATGGACCTCCCGGCAAAGTTACACCAGGTCTTTCAGTGGGCCTTTTTTCCCTTTTTGAAGTCTTGGTAAGGTAGAAAGTACGCAAAAAGGGAGCCCTTTTGAATCCCAGGAAACTCGGCATCCTGGTACATTTCAGGATCCTTCAGGAGGTTATGAGTATGTAGGGTTTATAGGACTTATAGGGTAAAACAAGAGACCTCAGAAGCCTCAAATCGATGAATCCTCCTACTACTAAGACTTATATGTTCATAAGACTACATCCAGGGACAGGTGCTGAAAGCCCCGGGATTTTGACACGTTCAAGACTTCAAGCAACCGTTCCAGAATTCGTCTCCTGCACGCCACATCCGCGGTTCTTGCTGTTTCCCGTCCAACCCCTACGAAACGTCGGATATTCCACGAGTCTGAACTGAACTTATTTCCTGGTTAAATGACACTCGAAGTCAATCGCCCTGAACCTATTCACGAGTGTTGGAATCGAAGCCAGGTGCTCAACAGCGCCCGGGCAGGTGCCCGGCACTACCGTGCCGTGTGCTGCCTTCGAGCCTGGCGGAGCCACGTGCAGCAGCGCCCCGGCTCTTCAACATAGTAACCCTTATAGTATATACTTTTTATCGCCCTTTATCGCAGCTCTTGTAGTATGCAGACCCTTTCGGTAAGCTTAGAGTCGCTCGCGAACCTTCAAGCTGTTTTTTAACGCTGTGTGACACTGGGCGCGGGAATTTTCAAGCGGTACTCATGTAAGTACATCATGTAAGTCTAGGAGGGATTCATTCAAAATTCATTCCGCCGCGAAACATACAGCGAAACATGTTCGAAGCATAGTGGAGTTGATGTGTTCACAAAGTCGGCAGTGTGTAAACATTGCAGTCTTGCCAAACCTATCCCGAGTCATACACCGAAAATAGAGGACAAATCTGCAAGCTGAGGCAGAACACCTAGCGCTCACTAATCAGCTTGGAATTCAATCCTAGCCCTTTTTTTGTCGAAGACGGTAGACTCCGGTAGACAAGACGACTCGCCCAACACAAGAACATATAAATCTAAAGCTGAATCCGCACCTGATAACAATTGCAGAAGTAGCTCTTCCCGTGCCCTATAATACCCCCATCCGTTCTATATCAATCAAGTTCAAATCTCGGTCGCAGCTGTGAATAGCTTCCAAACTCTCCCCGCGTGCAGGTGACTCAAGCCTTGGTACCAAACCACTTGGGAAAAAACAATCTTCACGACAAGCAATTATGTAGTGCAGTGCTTGTGAGCCTGCCTTAGCTTTGAGCTTCTAAGACTTGCAACAACCCAACGCGACTGTGGCGAGACGGTTTGGACAGAAATTCCCCTTAACCCCAAGCCCCTTCCAGGCATGTGTCCTAAGCCGCGAAACCCAACTGGCAAGCTTTCCAGGCTTTGTGCTGAAAGAGCACTTCTCCGGGCGAAGAACAGGTTGAGACCTTACATGTCGGTTGTGCCAAGTTAGCCCTAACCCCGCAGATACCTACTATATAGGGTACTAGAGCCCCTAGCGCCCTATATAGAAGGTACCTGGAGGGTTAGGGTAGGGTCCATTTTTTTTCTTGGCCGTGGCAGTGCGTGACTTTTGCTGCCGGGACTGACTTGGGCAGGCTCCCGCCCGGATCTGTAAGCTAGTGCGACGCAGATGACGAACGAAAAGAAGAGCCCTAGACCCTCAACCAACATGGTCTTTATCAAGTTCCTAGAATTTTTAATAGGGACCGGCTTAAGCTTTTTGGGTTCTTCTAGTTTAATTATAATCTGAGAGTTTAACCTTTTTATTTCCCTGGCTTATTGGGGAAATAAGTTGTGGGCTCGAGTTCTGAGGGCTTGGACTGTTGCATTGATCCGAAGGCCAACGCTACCCTAAGCCCTGAGCCTTAAACTCTTACATACTGTCGCCTCCATGCCTAAAGCTTAGAGCTTTGACCCCGGAGGCGCGCTTCAACAAATCAGCAGCCAGAGTCTTCCGAAATCTTGCGTTCAGTACTTCTGTTACGCCTTTGCCATCAGACCTTTGTAAGCCTCGCATGATGTTACATGACTTGAAAACTTGAGTTTGAGACCCCCTGAATGCCTCCAACCTGAAGCCCCTCAGTTGAACCCTAAACCTGAAACCCTAACCCCCTAAACCTTAAACCCCAAAACCCCAAAACCTAAACCTTCAACCCTAAAGCCCTAAACCTTAAACTCTAAACCCCAAGCCCTAAACCTTCCACCCTAAAGCCCTAAACCCCTAAACCAACCAAACAAAATGACCCAGAGGGCTCCCGCTATCCTTCCTTGGGATGCTTGCCGCAAACACTGCGGTTGTTTTCAGCTTGTTTAAGGTTTGGGGTTTAGGGCTTTAGCGTTAAGGTATAGGGTTTAGAGTTTAGGGTTTAAGGTTTAGGGTTTCAGGTTTGGGGTTTATAAGAGTGCCGCCACCGTTGCTGCTGATCTTGATGATGTTGCCGCTATTCTCAGCGCTGAGAAGCTAGTGTGAAGCAACTTGGTTTGTCCTGCTTACGAGTTGTACTGTACCACCCTTCAAAGCTAGCCACCTTCAACCCCTAAACCCTAAGCCCCAATCGCCAGGCTAAACCCTAAACCTAAACCCTAAACCCCAAATCCGAAACCCTAGAGGGAAAAATTCCCAGGCTTACCATCGGGCGCTCGCGGCACGCTGGCACACTGCTGCGTGCCGCCAGAGCCCAAGGACCTGCCATACTTTGACAGCTCCAAAAAATCAGGGGTTTAGCGTATATTATTAGGGTATAGGATTTGGGCTTTGGGTTTGGGGTTTAGGGACTTAGGGCTACGATGTGTCGAAGGCCCCCTATTTTGTGGAACTCGTATCGAAAACTTTGAACTAAGTGTCTAACGCCGCACCCGGATTCCCTACAGGTTCTGGGAGAGAGGAACTCTCAACACAATCCCCGAAGGTCAGCCGATTTAGCTTTCGCACGAATGTGGTCATCAGTTCACTTCCGCCTCCAAACTCCAAAAACCACCAGCCATCGTTCGAAGTCCTGAACCGCCTGGTACGAGCATCTATCCCTGAACCCCGAAACTTGCCCCGACCTGGAGATCCGTTTCTGAATTCCGACAAGCCAAAACGCTAACTCCAGAGTCCCTAAACCCTAAACCCCCTACCCCGAAACCCGAGTTCCAAAACCCCTTTAGTCCCTGAGCCATTTAAAGCCCTGAAGCCTCTTTGGGCATGGCGAAACTGGAACTCCAAAAGGATAAAGTGCCCGGTTGAGTGTTTTTGAGTTTCGAGGTTTAGGGGTTTAGGGTTTAGGGGTTTAGGGTTTTAGCAGATACAGTTTCAGAAGCCCCCAAGCCCTAGTTGGCCCCCTAGATCTTATACGTTCAACTCCCGAACTCCTCAACCCCTGCTTCCTAAAGCCCTCAAAACCCTACACCCCGCCAGGTCTTCAAGCCCCTGAACCCTAAACCTTAAGCCCTAAACCCTCAACCCTCAACCTTGAACCCTAAAGTTAAGCCCTAAACCGTAAGCCCTAAACCCCGAGTAAGAGCCTCCAAACCCCCTGAAGCCTCGAACTCAACCAGGTCTTGAAGCACTCCGCGAAGCTTATCTATCCATTGCGGAGCCCTTGTGTAGAGCCTAAACCCTCATCCTAAAGCCCTCCACCCTGAACCCTTAAAACCAAAGAGTCTCACCCTTGTAAATCTTGGTAGGGTTTAGGGGTTAGGGTGTAGGATTTAGGGTTTAGGATTTAGGGCGTTAGGATTTAGGCTTGAGGGCTTGGGAACGCTTCAGGTCTTAAAACACTCTGTGGAGCGTCAGCTCGGCTTTGGCCTCAACGCGCTGTGGCTAAACTCCGCCTCTCACGCTTTGCCTCCCACGCGCCGGCCTCGGAGCTCTTTTGAACCTAAACCCTAAACCCCTAAACCCCCAAACCCTAAACCCCTAAACCCTAAACCCCCTTGAGGCTATGGTTTTTCTTTCGGTGCTGCGGAGGTTTGGTGAGGTTGTTCTATCGGGTTTTGAGGAGGGTTTTATAGGGTTTGAGAAGGGGAATATGACGTTTTCGAGGTTACGGCTTCAATTGTTAACATGGGGCTTTGAAGACCGAGCCATAATATATCTTATGTGTGTCCTAGTGTGTATTCATTATGCTGTCGTAGTGCACTCCAGTCCCGATTCTTATTATTATTCAAGCCCCAACGCTAAACCCTAGGCCCGAACCCCGGTTTCGGTTGGGTTCCTGAAGCCTAGGCTACCTTTGACGCCCGAAACCGTCGAAAAGGTGTTGTGCATTCCGGTTCCGTGTTTTGTGAGGTTAGCGTTTTATGGTGTTCAGGTGTGGCTTCACACAAGGCTAAACATCCCGAAAGTAGTCGGTTTGGGGTTTTCGGTTTCCGTCGACCCTCCCTGCATGTACCGAGAGTTGCGGCACAATGACCGATGGTTGAATCCTCGCAGGCTAGGGCCCAGTCTCCTTCGGGGCGAATAACGTTTGCACCGAGAATTCGAAAACAAAGGGCTCAAGACAATTATAAGGTTTGGGGGAGCAGCACAGGCCGCAACCGGTGTCGCCATCTTCCAGCCAGAGGCCCATGCTGATAGGTTACGGTTTGAGGGGGCTGCAGGGTTTATTAGGATTTGGGGTTAAGCACATTAGGGTCATTAGAGGACCGGATGATGGATCTTGCAGGCGATGCGGAGTCTTGTGACTTTGGCACTAGAGCACTTTAAGGCTTTGGCTTCATAAGTTTTGTCTCCTTTGAAGGAGCCCTTGTAGATTTCTCAAAGGAACCCTTCAAGGGATTCGAGGAACCCTTCCGGGCTAGTCCATACCCGAAACCTAAAGCCCGAAAGCCGCCGGTGAGATGTCTTTGTGAACGGCCAACCCTGAGCCCTAAAATCAAAACCGCGGACTCCCTCCCTGTACGTTGAAAGCCCGGAGAAACCCCGAAGCCTTAGACCCAGATGCTTAAGAGCTTAAGCCGCCACGACTCTATAAAATCGAAACGCCCTCAAGCAGTGCCAAACCAAAAGCTGGCATCGGGTCTCGACCTTGATGTTTGGAGGGCTTCGAGTGTCTAAGTCCTCAACCGTTGACCTGTTTGATTGAGATATGGGGTAATTCTCTTTATTAAGGTCCCTTTCAGGGTCCCTTTTATAAGTGTGCCGTACTATATTCGGACCCAAAAAGGGACCCTACTGTCGAGAACTACCCATATAGATCTTGTGAGAAGGTTTTGGACTTTGACGTTCATTGTTCAGGGGCGATGAGTTCATGAAGCGAATCTGCTTAAGCCCTAAACCCCAAAGCCTTAAGACCCTATGCCGCGCAGGCACTTCGATGAATCGGGCTTTCAAACGCCCCGTAAAGAGCCGGGCAGCTCATCCAGTGTCTCTGAAGCAGATTTTACGAGGGGTGGTTTGCGGATTTGGGGCTTTATATGGGGCCCAAACCAACATTTCTTAGAGTCTTAGAGTTAGTAGGGCTTAGTTTAAATCTTAACGGGCGAGAAACCCGAGGCTTCAGACATTCTGTTAGATTTGTTCAGGGCCTAGGGTCGGATGTTCGAAACGCTGTGCCTCTGGAAATCCCAACAGGCAATGTTCGAGAGCACTTCATAGGAAACAGCGAGTGGCATCCTCCATGCGCATGATAACGGCTTTGCTGAGGTTGATGATGCTGGTGATGGTTTCAGCTGTCGTGAAGGTGTGAGCTGTTGGCACGACGATGAACAGTAGAGCTTGTGATGGCATCATACTAGCTGAAAAAGATTGCCACGGCACTGTCTCGTTGACACGGTTCTTGTGGCTGCTTGGATCAGCATGTCTCTTAGGCTTGTGCTTCATCACGTTTCATTGATCATGACGATAACGGAGACTATCAGTAACCTGAGGACACAATGTTTGTGAGCCTGAGCAGCTTTTGGGGTTAGGGCGGCGTGGTCTGTTATTGTTAAGGGAGTTGAGGGTCAGTAGTCCGAAACCTGACCATCCAGAGCCAGTACCCGATACCGAAACCAGCCTGCATCCACGAAACTGACAAGAATATGTGTGTTTCTCCAGGGGTTCTGGTTTGTTTTGTCGGCATGATTGCTATGACACTTACACTTTTCTTTTATGGCAATCACGTAGGCTCTACCTTTCCCGTTGAGTTGTGTGAGCCAAAACCAAAAAGCAGACCCTGAGCCGGACAAATGACGACTGGAGACAATCGCAATTTCAACATGGGAGGGCACCCTTCCCCCAGGTAGCGTGGCATTTCGGCCATCTCCAGTTTGGGATGAGAGCCCATGGCTCAGGAATGATGAGGCAGACATGACCAGGAAGAAGATGAAGATGTTGCTGGTGATGTAGATGGTGATTGTAATTGTCATGTACACTGCTGGCTGCTGTTGGCGCGTTTCTCAGTGCTCTTGCGTGCTGTCATTTTTATTACTGTCAGTATTGTTATTTGTCATCGTTGTGTTATCATTGTCACCAATATGACTGCTATTAGTAGTTCTTTTGTTGATAGCAATGTTATCTTCTTTTGACATCATTATCATTGGTATTGTTACTGCTATCTTTATTGCGACTGTTATTGCTATTGTTTGCTGTTGTTATTGCTATTATTAACACCACTACTATGATTGTCATTGTTAATGCGGTAGCCTTTAACCTTCTTGCGGCTTAATTGATTGTCCCTATATAATCCCAAAGGTTAACTTTCACTTCTCCAGCCATGAGGGTCCATAGTGGCCCGATGTTTTCGGGCAACGCCGTCCATCTCGAAGTCACCCTCAATCCTCGACACCGAACTCTGCTGTTGAATCTTACAGCATACAAATGAAGCTTCAACCCAGCAGCCCAGTGAGTCTTAACTTAAACCTGAAGCTCCACATCCTAAGCCCCTGAACCCCAAAGCACGAGACCCCATCAAAGTGGAAACCTAGGAACCCCAAAGACCGTGACTAAGAAGGTCCTGCACTCCCTCGCAGCCTTCGCCGCATCAAGGACTGCTGGGGCCAGGTGCAATCAGAACTTCCCAAAATTGGGATTTAGGGGTTTTAGGTTTAGGGTTTAGGGGTTTGCGTGTTGATGTTATCATCCTACGTTTCATGATCAACAGGATCGCTTCGTACTTTCAATGCCGTTGTTGGTTGACTCCTTCCTATTGCGTCGAGATACCTGTGCGCGCTTATCCAACCCAACCGATTTCAGGATTAAATATCCACTGTATAACAGCTTTCCGGGCTTTTGATTGATTTGCTTACTTGCGGACTGTAGGTTTGAAGGCCTTGAAAGTTGAAGAATTAGGGAGTTGTCGAGTTCTCATCTTCTCGGAAGCTGTGACTGGGTTCAGAGGTTTCGCGCATAGTCATGGTTGTAATACCTCGGTTCGATCGGTTTGCGCTTGTTAGCGATTGTATGCGGTACAGTATTGCTAGGTATTGCTGTTGGCGGTGCGGTACGATTAGACACCAGCCACACTCCCTTCCGGCCACCATCCAGGCACCAGCCAAGCCCCCCTTTCCAGCCCAGCTCCTCCATCCCGCCAGCCATCTCCATCCAGCTCCTTCCAGCAGCTCCATCAGCCCTCCAGCCACACTCCCCCTCCATCCAGCCCCAGCCACCCCGCAAACACACAAGCCGCTCCAGCCACCTCCTCCATCCAGCCATTGTTGCAACATCCATGATAGTACGTAGTCCCTGAAAGCGCCTGAACTTCAACTCAGCTAGTCAATCCTTTAAAGTCCCTCAGCCCTACACCCCAAAAGCGCTCCAAACTCTAAACCCGAAACCTTTTAGGGACGCTATGAACTCGCATAAACCCTCCCGTTTCCTGTCGTGGAAGGAGGGCAGCGAATGGAAGCTGAACAACAGCATCCGCAGTGAGGCCCTGTCGCCGTTGTCGTGTCGATGGTCGCAGCAGTGAAAGCCTTCCCTGTCTGCTGTTGGTCCAGACCCCCAGGCCATGGTGTCAAAAGCCCAAGTAGAAGGAACAGGTTTTTAGGGTTTGGAGTTTAGGGGCCGTAGCTGGTGGTGACATAGTTCCTCAGCATCATGCCACAAAAAGTGTGTAATGTGCCAAGTACTTCGACTGAAGATGGCACAAACTCATGGCCCGAGCACTAGGCAGAATGCCTTTGATGGGTGGTTAGGAAGAATGAAGAATGAATAGTCGTATATTCCTTAGAATTCCCTTATAACGCGTATTATAGTTATAGCATAGTGTGCCTCAGAAGCCTGTTCTGATCATTAAGGTCCCCATGGCATGAGCCTTCAAGCTGTTCCGCAATGTGAAAAGCTGACCGCGCGACAGGCAGTCACCGATACGACAAGGGCCCCAACCCTGAGGCAAAGTGCCGGCGTGAGAAGCAGCCACTTGCTTGCAGTGAGAGGGTTCCGGGTTCAAGGGTGCAAAGATCAGAGGGCTTTACGGTTTAAGTGTTAGGTTTTTGCTGAGGGCTTTCTTTGGGTTCAAGTTGTCATGGTTGGAGGGATTCTTTCCTAAAGTTGGAGCCCTCAACGTTTCGGAGGTCAAGCGCTTGCGGGCAGATTATGGCTTAACATGGTGTTTGTGAATTTGCCATCAGCTGATACCAACTGACACCTTCAGCCAGTCCCAACCAAAGTTCAAGGTTCATCGTTTCGAACGGTTGTCTTATGTCCTAGGTAGTATTAGGGAGACCCCTTAAAGGGGACCCTTCTGAACCCTACTTGTGGCTCTCTTAAAGGGGACCGTATTGAGAGGGTCTCTATCCTCAGGGGTCCCCTTAATCCTAACTCCCATTATGGCGTATGCTTTGCCCCCTCATTCCCACGAGGTGCAAGCAGCGTGAGCGCCTTTGCCGAAAGCAGCAGTGGCGCTCAGCTGCCACTGCCAGGAGCTCAGGGGTTCAAGGCTTTAAGTTTAGGTTTTTTAAGATGTGAAGAACATCTTTTTACAGGGCTAATGGGGGCTCCTTGGGGCAAGCACCAGTAAGTTTTAAAGGTTTTGTTGGTTTGGCTGTCAGGCCGCCATGGGTGTCAAGATTACGATTACGCACTCTAAACCCTGCAAGCAGCAAGTCCTAAAAAGCGAAAGCTCTAAACCCTAAGTCCTAAAGACGAAAAAACTGTTAAACCCCAAAGCCTGAAACCCTAAACCCTGAACCCTGCCAGAGTTTCGAGTTTGGGGTGCTCTGGGTTTCAAGCAGTATTAGTAGTGAGTCTTTGGTGGGAGCTCCTCAGGAATCATGTTGTATGGTTTAGCAAGTATGAGCCCAATAGCTTAGTCAAAGTGTGTGTGTGTGTATTTGGTGGCAAGGGGTGTCAGAACAGGTGCTGCATCTAAACCCTAAACCCTAAGCATTCCTCAACTTTCCAGGAGTCCGCCTATCAACCTCGTACGCGGTGAGGGCATCTCTCAGTCTGCAAATCGCAAACCCCAAAACTCCCAAACCCCAAAGCCCCACAACCCCAAATCCTAAACCCTAAACCCGATGCGGTTTAAATCCTGTGCTGCAAAAAACCTTCAAAAGAACAAAGCTGAACCCACCGGAACTCCGAAGCCCAAAAACCCAATCAAGCAAGAAATGAAACCCTCACAAACCCGATACAAATCAT